ACGCACAGCACACAACACACCACACAACACGCAACCCACATCACACAGCACACAACACACAACACACAACACAACACACAACACACACACACAAACATCGCTCAGCACACTACATACCACACAACACACAACACACAACACAAAACGCACAACACACTCAGCACACAAACAACACACACAGGCACAAACACATACACACAAGCACACACACACAAAACAAACACACGCACATCAATCACACGGACACACACAGACAGACACAACAGACACACACACGCACAAACACGCACACACACAAACACACACACACACACACACACGCTCTCTCTCACACACACACACGCCCGCACACACAGACACGCACACACACACACACACCCACGCACACACACACGCACGCACACACACGCACACATCACGCACACCACACACAACACAGAATTCACGACACACACACACACACATCACACAACACACAAAACACAGCACACAACAAGCAACACACAACCCACAGAACACGGCACACATCACACAACGCACACCATACAACACACAATAAACAACGCACAACACACTACACACAACACACAACACACAAACAACACACCCACACACACGCACAAACACATACACACAAACACATACACAACACACAGACACAGACACAGACACACACACACACACTTCAAACACACATCAAACACACACAGACACACAGACAGACACACAACACACACACACACTCACACACGCACACCGCTCCTCGTCCTGCTTCTCCTCTTCCTCCTGCCCCTCCTTCTTTCCTCCTCCTCCTCCTCCTGGTTCTGTGTTCCCTGCTCCCCCTGCTCCTCCTGCTGCTCCTCCTCCTGCTCTCCTTCCCCCCCCCCTCCTCCGCGCCGGGGCCCGCCCGCGAAGAGGGCGGCCGCCGAGCCCCCACCAGTGGACCCCGACGACGACGGCGCCCGACGACGAGGCAGACGACGCCGCCGACCGCAGACCGACGCCGGCGACCGCGACCGCGACAGACGACCGACGGCGGCGGCCACGACGCCGCCGCTGTCGCCGACGCCGCCGCCGGCGCCGCCGCCGCCGGCGCCGCTGCCGGCTGCGACGTCGACGCCTCCGCGGTCTGGAGGCGCCGCGCCGCGCTGGCGGCGGGGGCGCTGGCGGCGGCGACCCGCGGCGGGGCGGGCTGCCTTCTTGGACTCCTTGGCGGCCTTGCCCGCGGCGTGCCGCAGGCTCTTGGGGAGCTTCAACTTCCCGGACTTCTTCCCCTGGCGGCCACGGGCGAGGCGAGGCCGGAAGAGACGGGTCTCGCGCTTGAAGGGCTGCAGGGGCAGACAGGTCGATGAGGCAAGCAATGACAGACAGATCGAAGGAACCGGCTTCGCGCTGGAATGCTTGCGTGTTTCATCGATCTGCCTGTCCCTGCAGCATTTCAGCGCGAAACCGGTACCTTTGGGGTGACTCTGGGCGTGTGCTGGACAAAAACGCGGATCGACAGCTCGACTTGAGCTGCACGTCGTGGTGTCGAGATCGACAGTTCATCGAGGCTTGAGGAGACAGAATAGTAGTGTTGTGGATGCCATGACTGACAATGGGCACTCTAACCGTTCTATCAGTTCAGCAAGCATGTATCTTGAATGTCTTCTTCATGCTTTACACCTGACCGAAACATGTTTGAAACATGCCGTAGCACTTTAGACTCACATTTCAAAACATGGTTGAAAGGCATCTGGAAACTCTTTTGCTATCTGCCTCCTCTGCGCTGATCGTTTTTGTTTCACACTGGTAGAGGTGGAACACCACCTGTTTCCCGATGGCCGTGCGCAGCACGGGCGCGAGCCCGCGTGCTCGCCCTCTCGCGCGCCCCCAAAGAGCGAGGCATCTCTCTCTCTCTCTGGCCCAGGCCGCCGCGAAGCGCGCCAGGCGACCACCTTCGCGCCCCCGTGGCTGGCCGAGGCACTCCCAAACTCACTAGGGCTGCAGTGGGGGCTAGTCCACAAGGAACCTTCCACAAGAAACCCAAACCTGAGACCCCAGGACGTCCATGGGTCTCTGGTGTGGGAACGGCATGCCTTCCGCAGCAGAGCCATCGAAACCCAAGAAACCCAGGGCACCCTGGAGGCGAGCAGGGTGCTTCTTGGCATGGGCCCCCACTGTAGAGTTAACGATGCCTGTTCAGGTGGAAGGAGACAGGCTCGAGCGGACGTTCGAGCAAGAACGCGCCCACCGGCGGGATGGACAGCCAGCCGGCCAGAAAGATCGACGAACCGAACGGCCGCTTTTCCTGCAATCCCCCGGGGCGGCCTGTGCCAAGGCCTGTGCGGCCTTTGAACCGTCGCGCACGGCCCATCGGAATCCCGTCTCCGTGTTCAGGAGTGAGATCCACCCGTCGGGATGCTCCAGGCGACCTCTCAGCCTCTGCTGCGCTTGCAGGTTCACGAGCTCGACGACGCGGATGCGGGTGCCTGCCTCCAGGCTCGCGATCTTGGGGCTATCCAGCACCTCCGTCTGCTTCACGGCTGACAGATTGGTGATGGTGTAGTTGCCAGGCCCGTCCTCCTCAGGCGAGGCCAAAGGCATGAATTGCTCCTCGCGCGGGGGGGGCATCAAGATGCAGCTCATTGCCTGAGAAAGTTTACTTTGCATCAACATAAACTTTCGACGGTCCACGCAGATTTCCTGGATCTGCGCGGGTTGTGGCCCAATAGGAGCGGCCCTTTACCCCAGCTAGCGGGCTTTTCTTCCTGTCCCAATGTTTTTCGCCCTTCTATCCCCCATCGTGCACGCACTGGTTCTGTAACTCTGAGGCTGATCGAGCGCTGCGTTCCTATTTCTTCTCGGGTCGCGGCCACCAAGACGCGACGGCTCACCCGAGCCAACGCCTGCCCAACGCAAAACCCGCTGAGGCCGTCGGTGGGGCCCCCTGAGGGTGCACGAGACGCGCGAGGGGTGCCTCGAAATCAGCGGGGGACAGGGTCGGCACGCGGACAGGACCTCCCAAGGCCGTAGGCGGGGGCTCCCTCAGGGGGCACGAGGCGCGTGAGAGGCGGGGGACGGCATCCAGCCGCACCCCTGAGATACAGTCATCGTACGGTCATCGTGCGCGGCGAGGATGCAAGGGCCCTGGAGGGTCACGTTAGCGTTTTTCGAACGAGGCTGGCCAGCGAGTGTCGCTAAGGATGGGCCGAAGGGGCAAGGATGCAAGGGTACCCTTGGGAAGGTTGCCCCTCCTTGCTATGCGGGTTGACTGCACCACCAGAAGGAACGCCACACAATGAGGAACAACGAGGAGGAGGAGGAGGAGGAGGAGGAGGAGGAGGTGGAGGAGGAGG